CTTGACTTAGATAAATGTTTTTACTATCAAAATTGTTTTTAAATCAGATTCACAAATTGGCTGTTTTGAATATATCCAAAAAAAATGTAAATCAAATTTTTAATTTCAGTGTTAAAAAATAAAAATAATTGTTTGTATAATATAATACCTGTTTATAATATTGATTAGAAAAAAAGTTATTTAAAAAATCAGTTCTATCTGTTACACTCTATATATCAATAATAATTATTATAAGTTTAAATCGTCGGATGTTTTCATTTTCATCAATTCATCTTCAAATCTGTTTGAGAATACAAATCGAGAGTTAGTTTCTTATATATTATAATATAGGTAATAGATAATATAATATTATATAATATTATAAATTAAATAAAAACTACAAACTCCTATGATGATATATATGTAGTTTATGTTTTTAGAAACTTATATATTTGTAAAACTGAATTTGTTTTCTGCTGTTGGTAATAATTTAAATTTATTTGCATAATCGTGTACACGTATATAGACTCAGACACAACGTTTGAGTAAAGTTTGTTCTTTAAAATGTAGTTGTTTAGAAATTGTATACATATACCAAAGTACATGCTGAGATTACTACCACGCGTATAATTACTACCGGAAAACAAATTTCAGCAAATACATTTACCACCTTACATAATATCATCGTTATTTTGTACAACAAAAAAAACTAAGTTGGCCTATGCATTTTACAAATTATTATTATTGTAAAAATGTTATTCGGTGAATTATCTAGTTGAAATAATGATCAAATACGATTACATTTAAAAAATATTTGTACACAGCCAGTGCCGAGAATTTAATTTGCAATAATTGTTTAATTAATCCTAATGCGTTTACTTATTATCTACAATACTTATTTAGGAGCTGACCATGTGAGCTGTAATCGACTGTGCCTGACAAGATTATGGTTGATTTTAAAGTGTAGGATTTGTTAAATTGCTTGTGTCTGATGTCGGAGGATTGGTAAATCAACAAATTATGTTATCGACCGACACACAACTTTTTTTCATTTTTGAATTTAATTTTGCAACACTATTTATAATTATGAACACAGCGAAGATGGTTTTTTTTTAATTACAGAATATAATAATAATAATTGTGTCGACAAGGAAATTGAATTACGCTATGGGGTCGTCACAATCACTCACTCACTGTCGCCCTAATCAATCTCAGTTATTTTTACATGCGTAATAATAATAATTATTATTATTATTATGTACACTGTACAGTTGATTAACTGAAAAAGTTTGATAAGTAAATACGAAAAATTCTATATAATAATGAAGGATAATTTTCTTGATAACGAACATCGCACTCTCGTTGTTTTGAATATATTTTTGTATATATATTATATTGTTCTTATTTTAAAGTTTTTTAGTTAGTTCATATTGACAAGTGACAAGGGTTATATCCTTCGAAATTCGGGGTGCACGGTTCATCTAAACTTTTAATCCCTTTTAATAAAACGTATTTTCTTAATATTCTTAGAAAATAATTGCGCTTTAAAAAAAAAATACTGAGAAATTATAAGTTGCCATAATATTAAAATATTAAAATATTTATAGTGGCTTAACAAAAATATTATAAGTATGAAAAAAGGGCAGTATAAAATGTTAGAATAATTGCAGTTATATTTTCAAAAAGAAAATTAAAAAATGTTTATAGAAACTTTTCAAAATAATTAGCTTATGATGTTAAAATTAAAAATAACCAACCGTAAGTACAACAATATTACAGCATTCCAGTTATGTTTAATTGCTGTAAAGTTATTTATTTGAGCAAAGCAATTTACTATATAGGTGCAATTTTAATGGTATTAAAATATAATTTTTTCATGCTTTAAAAATCCTACTTACCTAATGGTTTAGAAAGTTTAAATTAATATTTTAATTGAAAATTTGTAACTAATAAAACTATTATGAGTGTAAAATAAAATGAATTCCTGGAAAAAAAAAATACCTGTAGGTAAAGCCGTAGAGATAAACGGAGTATATTTATAATTTTATTTTTTAAGAGTATACCAAGCGCGTATGTACCAAACTTATCTTTAAAAATATTATATAATGTACCTATACAAATAATAAATCTTCAATTTAATATTAATAATCTGATTTGTGAAATATTCAATTATTGATTTCAGTATCGTTTAACTAATTTTGTTCAGTAGAATATAATTTCGTCGTCACTATATTTATGATATAGTATATAATATAATAATAAAATGCAATTTAGAAGAAAAAAAAAACCATTAAATAATAAATAAATTTTTTTTTTACTTAAATAAATATCACATAACAATAAATTTGTAATGGTTTATTCTGTATTATTTAATTGATTACATTTTGAGTAGAAAAACATCCAATCTCTATATTTTCTATTATTGGTGAATTTATAATATACCCATACGCGTATAATGTATACATTACATGGATCTAGGATAGAAGAAACGGTAAAACGATGTTACATCCAAATGGCTTATATAGAAAATGACATTTCAACAAATTTTTTATTATTCTATGTTCGTCAGAATAGAGAGTGAGATTGTAAACTTATTTGGGAATACCAGTTGACGTAGATATAAAATAGGACAATTGCATAAAATCGGACGGATATATTATGTATTATACGTCTCTGATTTCAAATTCTGGTTTTACATATTTCGTATTTTTTTTACGTAAACTTTACCAACTTTTATTTTTTGAATATCCATAGAAACGGTGCTTCTAGATTTTTAAATTTTCGGTTTGGGTTTCTATGCTTACTCTCCGTGTATTGATCTATACTAGATTCGCTACGGTATTAATATTAAGCATCATTGCGGCACTTTGTTTTTATCAACTCACAAAAATCATATTAAATAAACGCAAACCTGGTTCTCACTCGCAATCGCTTTACAATGTGACGTTTATGCATATCGATTATGACGTATCTACTTAAACAAGAACTTATGACTTATTCAAAGTGTAAAATGTTAGATAATAACTGCAGTTCAGCTATTAGATTGAATAGTATGTGCTAAGTAAGATAACTCTCGAACATCCCGGGAAGCCGTTTTAACAATTTTCTCTACCTGTTATCTACAATCATATTATTATTAACATAGTGTCTGAGATAAAAATATAGAATAAATATATTTTTTACGACTTTTATTTGCATCAAGTGATTATCGTTAGAGAATATACTCGTACCTGAATGCTTTTGATATAAATTACGATTTTCTCAAGAAATTAAGTTTAAAATAAAATTCACCCTCGTGCATTTCGACGAGAAAAATAAATTGTACTGACCTAAAAATAGCAAACAAACAATTATTATTTGATTATTACGGCGTAGTGGACATCGATATATAACTAAATTAGTATTGTGAAAAAGTTCGAATTTTCAGTTTTCAATCATATTATTCTATTCGCCCACTCGACATCTCTCGCTCTCTCTCACCTACGCGTAATAAAAATATAAATAAATTGGTGCAGTATCAGCTCTATATAATAATGGATTTATTTTTATATTATTTAATATTGCAGCCCACGTTCACGGTGACGGCCATTTCATTATAATATCCAAGAGGCAAAGCGTGTCAGTACATATTATAGTATACTCTTATTCTAATAGCTTTTGCTTTCATTGTTATTTTATTGCTCCGTCTGAGTAACTCCGTTCAACAGCACTCGAACGTAATACCTATACACATACGGTAGGCGTATACATCGGTGTATAATAATAATATTATTACATTTTTATAAATTGATAGCCACATTCATGACTGTCATAATGCGTATTATTTTTTTCTTTAACCTTCGCACCATCACAAGCCACGTCATAATATTATTTATTCTATAATCGTGACATCTCTGCTCTGTTTAGGAGGCACGGCTTGAGTATTGATCGGTGAAAAAAAAAATGAGAAAAAAGTAAAACATCAAACTCGTCGAGGAGTGCTTCTACCGTGTACTAGAACCTACGGATTGTGTCATATAATGATGTTATAATAATATTATTATTTCATTTGTTGCCCGACGGGCATTGTAATGAGTATAGGCGACCTACACGCCTGCAGCAGTTGTGTCCGAACACATTTTCGTCGGTTATGGTCTCTTGTGGAATGCAGCTGCGATTTGGGTCAGATATTATCAATAATTAAAGACGCGAAGAAACCGCGCCGGTTGCATCACGAAATAGAGCAAACCGGATTCGGTGCGGAAGTGATACATATAGTATATAATACAGGAAAGTGATACATATTATAACTTGTGCATAACGATATGTAGTAGGTAGGTATATGTGTAATAATAACGGAAAGTGAAAACAAACTGTCGTTTTTTCTCACACAACTTATATTATTCATTATTAAAAATATAATTATGTGTAATAGTACACAATACATAATACATGATAATATAAAAGTTTATTTATTTACAAACATTGGGAGTAGGTATATATTTTGAGCACATTTTGTTTTTTGGAACATTAAAATATATAATAATATTATCGTTATAATATATTGTACGAGGATTTAAAGTTACAAAAAAAATTATAATAAAAAAACTAGCATTTAGCAAAGTGCTAAATATACAGTAAGTTATATTATATATGGCTTTCACCTCAGCCAGGTGAAACTGCTTGGCCAAACGGGTGTGAATATAAATATATATATATAAACGTTTATATAGGTCTTACGCACGAAATCCATAGAAAAAAAAAATATAATATTATTCGTATATAAAATACCTTAATAACGCGCTGCACATTATTAATTAAGCTTAAACGAAAATAAAAATATTTTCACCATTAAAATTACGTTAAAATATAATAAAATAATAATATAATATAGTTATCGTACCCTACGTATGAATGGCGTATAGCGAAAATGTATAGTATGGATGGCTATACGCAGTGTCTATAATATTATTATTATATATTATAATTATAATATTATGTTATTTACAAAAATGGAAATATCAATGAAATAATTATTCCGTCTAGAACTGCACGTTGTGGCCTCTTAGAAACGCGTCGATCTGGCCGGCGGCCAAGCTCTGTTGTCCGGGCGTCCTGCCGGGCTGGACGAGCACGAACTGCTGCTGATGCGCTTCCGGTTGCTGTTCGAACCGCTGCGGCTGCTTGGCGGCGAACTGCGACGCCGGTTCGAAACGCTGCGATGGTGGCGGGAAGAACTGCGGCGACGACTGCGGTTGGAACGATTGCTGCTGCTGTTGCTGTTTCTGTTGCTGTTGTCTGAACAGGTTTTGGGACTGTTGGAACGCCATGGCCTGTTGTTGCTGCACCAATTGCTGTTGAGGGCCTGGGGCTCCCGGGAATGCGGCGGCTGGCCTCTGGAAGTCGAACTCGGCAGGTCTCTGCTGCTGGAACTGCGGCTGGAACGGTTGGACCGCCGGCCGGAATTGCGGTTGTGGTTGTTGGAACTGTGGTTGTTGGAATTGCGGCTGGGCCTGGGGACGGAACTGCTGTTGCTGGGGCAGGGGCTGCTGTTGTCTAGCCGGTGCCGTTGCTCCCTGCAGGGGCAGACGTTGGTTGATGTTGATGCCGGCCTGCTGTTTGGGCACCTGTTGGAATATGACCGTGTTGTACTGGCCGGTGGCTGGGTCGAAAACCAGTTCGGTGGTGTACAGCGCTGAGTTTGGCCCGGTGGGCGACTGGAGCTGCACCTTGCCCGACGGCGATGATGGTTGCGGCAAGTTACGGATGGCCGAATCTAAGTTTCCAGCACCCGATATGAATTGTTGTGGTGGAGCAGCGGTGGTCGATGACAATATCTGCGGGGGTGGTCTCCTGGGACTTTCCTGGAACGACGGCTGCTGCATCTGCTGTCTGCCGGGCTGGCGAGGCGTCGTTGATGGCTGCGACTGTGGCTGTGGTTCGAAATCGCCGAACGTCTGTTGGAACAAGGTGGTGGTCGGACGGTTCTTCTTGGGCTTGGGCCTGCCAGCGTTCACGGGAATGTTGGCCGGAATGTTCTCCTTTTCACTCGGTTTGCCCGGTTGGTCGTCGTCTTCCTCGGAATTGACCGCGTTCGGGTCGCACGGGTTACCCTGCACGTACGTGAATTCCCGTTTGTTACCGTCCGGGTCTACGTAACCGTACTTGCCCCTGACCACGCAGTCCGTGCCCCTGGTCTCCTCTTTGAAGCTACCATCGTCCGCCTCGTAACCGAACGTGAACGAACCGTCGTCGTTCAGCTTGTTGAAGTTCCGGATGGTCTGCGCGGTCGGCTCTTTCTGCTGCTGTGGCTGTTCCTGTTGCTTGAGCCGTTGCTGGATGAGTTGCTGATTATGTGGCGACTGGGACCTCGGACCCGCTTTCGTCGGCTGGTGCTGTTGTCTGATGATCACCTGCGGCTGTTCGTCTTCTTCGTCGGCGGCAGCTTCTTGCTGCTGTTCGCGGGCACGCTGCTGCAACACCCTGGGCGTTTGTCGGACCACAACCACCGGTTGCCGTTCGGCTTCGATGTCCACCTGCGGTCTGTGTTGCAACGGCCTGCGCGCGATCAACACCGGCTTGAATTGTTGCTGTTGCTGTTCATCGTCGGCAGCAGCCTGCGCGTCGTCTTGTTGAACGTCATCAGAAGCCGCAGGTTTCACGTTCACTCGTCTGCTGTCCACATCTGTCGACCACAGCGTTACTAATAGTAACGCGGCCTGCGAACACCACAGAAGGACATGGTTAATACAAAAATATTTTTTTTAGATACTGAATTTTCTACAATCGGCTTGAAATCCATACGAAATAATAATAGTACAATAACGCATATTACTATAATATACAAGACTGGACGCCTTTTTTGATGTTTTTATTTATTCAGAAAGGATGAGTTTATTATAATATATTTACTAAGCGGTCGTCTACGGGTAGTCATTTATTGTTTGAGCTGGGAGTTAGCCGGTTGCCAAGGGGGCAGTAAATGAAGGAATGTTTACAAACTGTTTATGACAAACTATTTCATACCTGAAAGCGTTGCTGTACGTCCCCCTCCCCTCAACCGTTAAACAAACAGAACATTTTTTCAAATTTCAACAATAGGTATATGCAACCGTATTTTAAATTTAACTTAAAATCTTTTACGATAAAGTCTTATGATGATAACTTATCACATATAATAAGATTTGATTATGTATGTACTAGTAGTACTACCAATGTCTGATGTGAGTTTTCATATACATTTTTCCAAATTAGTCGCGGGTGCGACTTACAAGTCTTTCCACGTCCAAGACCATCCCAGGTGTGAGGACCACTGCGGATCGTCGCAATAATGATATTATTATTATTATTATTATTATTATAGACGTGTCGTAACTCGTAACGTCGTCCCGAGAGGACGAAAACAAAAAACCTACTCGCAATATTAATAATAATAATAATAACAACACTCGCAGGCTATAAATCACGGCACCTATATAATATATATATATATATATATATTATAACGCGTGTAATAACACAATATTGTTATATATATATATGTGTCGGAAAACCCACGGCGGTTCGAACCACGAGAACATTATATTCCCACGGTGAACCGCGTGTGACCCGCGTACGCGAAACGTCAAGGACGCTGTATATACGGTATAGATGTCACGATCTATTATAATGTGTATATAGGTGTCAGACTTGTGCATTTTGAGAAATACGCCGAGGGCCACGGGTCAAACGATCAGAAAACGGACCAGTATTATGACGAAATCGTTTTTACGAAAATCCCTAGCACCTAAGGTATATATTGTAATATAATGTTATTGTATATTATTAGATGTGAAGGATTTGCGTAAAAATAAATCGCGGTATGTTGGTAAGAAAAATGCAGTAGAATAGCTGTGACTATAAATTGGCCTCCTCTGTATATATATAAAACAAAAAAAACAGAAAAAAGTAAAAACTGTCATCGGAATATATCTTAATCGCAAATAACAATTATGTAGTAATCTTAAAGCAGTGTGTAATACGATGGTAATTATTAGTCTTGGTAACGGCTGGACGTCAAACGGTTTTAGGACGAGCGGTTATAGTCATGTAGTTAGTTATCGGGTGTTACGAATCGTATTCGATTACATTATTACCTAATTGAAATAGGTAACGACGTAACGTAACACTGTTTTGACTTTTGGGTGGTACGCAAAAAGTCGGAAAAAATTACTGCTTACCTACTACTACAATACAGTGCAATGACACCGGTGAAAAACACATCTCTAATGTATGTGAAAAACGGATAAGCACAGAGACGTTTCCGGCGATCGCTCCACCGAATAGCGCCAGAAAACGTTACGGACAGTTGTTCTGTAATGTAACAATAATAATTATTGTTATCGTATTACCATTACCGTTATCGTCATTATTATTATTGATGTTGTTGTATAATAACTCTATGTAGGTGTGTGTGCACGATGACGGACGTAGATGGTAGCAAAGGTAAAATGAAAAAAATAAAAAAAATACAACATAATAATATAAGCCTAGATAACGATTAGTGAAAGTTGCACACTCACATGTCTGCAGTGCTCACTGTGCTTATTATTGTGTTCCGGTCCGTCGGCAATTAAACGTTCGATATTATGTTAATTCGGTTTTCGAAAAAAATAATTGTGTTATACATTATTCAATCATTTTTTCCCTCCCCACAGGCATACCCATAACTACGCTCAATAAGCCTCGCGAGACCATTCCGAAATCACTACTAGTAAAGCTGAATAATAATACTGTTTGTTGTAGCGGTCGGACGTTATAATATTATTTCGAAAAATAGAAATACTAAATACATAATATTATATTATTGTGCGATATATCGAGACGTTATTGTATGCACGTACTATAAAACGTATTATAATATCGTACCTTGCTTCGGGTGTCGGATTGCGCAATGACCGCCGAACAATATTTAAAATGAAAAAAAAAATAATAATGATAATAATAAAAATAATAAACGTACGATTCGTGTGTAAGCACGTACTTGCAGTGTGCGTCCGCGGTCGCGGGAAAATAATAAAAATAAATAGATTTTCGTTTTCATCTCAAGGTTCGTGACGACGGTATTATTCTTTCTTTGCTTCGGACATGAAAGGAACATGCTGAGTAACTATCTGGCCAGATAATGTGCCTAATTGACAACCGCACAGGGCGATCCATAGAACGCGATACACTCGGACGACGATGATGTATCAAGGTCTTACCGTAGAGTAATTTCCTCGGCTATGGGTCTTACACGTCCGTAAAAGATAATATTATGACGTCTGAGGAATTGTGCAGTGTAGCTAATACGAGTCGTATCGATTCTTTTGCGTCGGATCGAAGACAAAACCATTTGTTTTCATAGTCGTAATCTCCGGTGCGATATCATATTATATTATCGTTGCTGTATTACTATTATAATAATATGCCTCTTTCAGAGTAACTTGCGAGTTCTTATCGTCCGTACGACGACTACGACAAGACGTATATTGTGTACCGAGCGCAGACAAGTCAAATATAATGTACATAATATTTGCACTAGATAAGGTTGCACGAGAATAGAGACGACGAAAAAAAAAAACGCATTACACTGAAAGTATGACAGAATATTAAATCACCCGAAAGAAGTCGTAAACCGATATAGTATGAGTCGTCGTGCTTCCCGTTTCTGGTAAGTATCTAATGAGTATAATAATACGATGTGAAATTAAAATTCCAAAGTTCAACACAGTGTAGGTATGTGTTTGTTTCTCTCGCGAAAATGTTTATTTTTTAAAATTAAAACAACGATTGATCGTATGTTTTCAAAATATCTGTGCCACACTCTTCTCGGCGGCCCAACTCGGTAAGAGTAAACGATGTTATATTATTATTATTAGTTTATACGATTTCGAAACGTGGCCGGGAAAATCGTTTTCCAGTCGATGGTAATAAACACGAGGCGTATGTAATTATAATAATATAATGAGACGGGTTTACTCACCAAGATGTATGTCGTGTACTTCATCGCGTCGGCGGCTCCGTGCAGGTCGTTGAAATAATATACCTATATACGCGGCTTCGAGTGGAAAATTTGTAAAATTATTTTCTGAACTGTGAAATGAAAAATAATAACTCTGCAGCGAATAATACGCGAGCGTTGGAGCACTGCGGCGAGAGGTCCGCGTATGGTCCTTAAACGATCGTCTTATTCAGTGGCGCACACTGACCGGCCGAGCGGGTGCCGAGTGGGTTTTATAACTTTCCCCCGCCGCCGCGTAGTCTCGGGGCCGAAACCGCTGCTCCCTCACACTGCAACATCGCAACCGCAAACATCGTCGTCGTCATCGCTGTCGTCATCGTCGTCTCGTGGATACGTAGTTTGTCGTGTACGGGTACTACTCCTGCCGAATCTCCTGCTGCAGATCTCTCCACATCCGACTCCTGTAGAGTACCTCCTCCGTAACAGTCCCGAGACGTGTCCCAGAAGTCGCGGTTTGCGCAACACGGACATATGATATTGGTATACCTACCTATATACTTATGTATATAGAATATGTCGAACGTCTGCAATGCGATATATCGTACGGATTAATTGGTATATTGTCCGACCGAAACCGGTAGGCAGGTATAGGTACCAGGTAGGTATAATGTTATATATCCATCGACAATTAGATCACGATAGTACGATCTCTCCAAGGCACACAAACCTGAAACTCTAGGAATGCTGTACCATCGTCGTCGTCGTCGTATATACCTAACCAGGCCTGTGTTCGGTACCAAAAAAATAATATATTGACCGTTTCCTCCGAATACAAAAAAGGTACGATTCCCGGTTCCACGTGCAAAATAAGTTTTGCTAACCAATGATTTTAGTTTTTAGGTAATGTGCCTAGCGATTTGTAAATAGGTGAATACTGTACAATAGTAGGCATACACGATACTATGTACAGCGATAACTGTAAGGAATATAAATTTCATCCCAGCCATTAAGAACTGTTATTTTTAATGATTATTATTAAGTAAATTTTTTGGGGGTGTGGATGGCTTATTATTGAATATTTAAGAGTTAAGACCTCCAATTAATATTTGCCAAGATCTCCAGCCACATATGTATACCTGATCGTATAATGTAACAGGCAAAAATGCATCATCGTTTATTATATTTACAACACCTTTGACTATAGTTTTTTATTTTACTGTGCTTGGCACATACCGACATACCTAATGACTACAACAGTCTAATAATAATATATCGTACTGGAACTGGCGGTATGTTATAGGTGAATAATATCAATTGCCCTCGGGATGGCGTTTAGACCCGGTAACGGGTTCGCACACAGCGCTGTAAAGTTCATTTAACGTCGATTTATTGTTGAGCTAGCAGTCCTTTGTCCGCGTCTAACCGTCAATACGTTACATTGTTTTTGTCGTTTTCATATTACACATACCTACCTATGTATATTGTACTGTGTACCTCTAATACTCATTGTTCGACGGCACCACATCGAAATATAACAATAATATTAGGTACTCGTCACACCAAGTCTCTGCAGCAGAGTCGATATTATGCGCTCGACCGAATTCGTCTGTTGTAGACTACTATATTATAATATTATTATTATAGAAATATAATTTAGCCGACGACGTTCACGGCGGTATAAGTTAAAAATATAATATCTCTATGGACTTACGAAATTGTAATTTGGATAGGCTCTCGCGGTCGCAGTGCCGCACAAATCGGTCGTATGATTTGAGGTATGATTTGTCGTATGATCACGCTCTGTCTTTCAATAAAATATATTATATATTATATTATCATGATATTAAAACGCACCGTTAGTGTACATAATACAGGTAGTAACTAGTAACTCGAAAAGTCGTTTGTTTCTAGTTGAACGCAAGGTCCAGGTTCAAATTATTTCTTACGGTAAAAATCGAGTCCTTATAATAATATTAATTTCATTTCACCAATATACATAAATAAATATAACAGTATGAATTTTAAATGATGATGTCTCCAAAAATCAAAGTTTTTGAAAGAGACGCAAAGTTCTTTAACTACATTTATACCAATTTTTAACTAAACTTGTTAAAATTTAAGAATATACTGAGATGTGTATTCTATATGTACTTATTATGATGTGTTTTTGTAGAATATGACATAATAATATGCGTAGTATATACAGTGAAACCTCTACTAACGGACACATTCAGACCTTTTTAAAACTACAAAGTATATACAACCTATTGCAGAATAGCGGATAGAACTTCAGCTACCAAGAGTGTCCGGTATATCTAAAACTTCTACCGTACAATGGTAACCTATTCAAGTCGCATATGAGATTATGGAAGCAAAATACATTTACCGTCACTAGCTTAATATTCAACATTGGGCGAAATCTAGGGAAAATCGATAATCTCAAAATGTATCTTTTGATTTATATACTGCATTGATATTCAGACGTCTTACAGCGTTGCAGTTTACTATGGATTTTCGAAAGATGGTTGCTGTGTGAGGTAAAGGTTTGGTTTACATTACAGTATATTAGTATTCATATTTTATTATTATGAAAATGTTTAAAATATATTATAAACTAGCCTTATTTCAACCGACTTTGGCCAGGTAACAGGTTAAAATTAATCTATCTTTCTGTCGTTTTCGTTTCGCTTCAGTTGAAATAAAATATAGTATCTTATAAAGACAACTAAAATAGTTAATTTTATGATTTTCCAATTCTTAATTCTGGAGACATTTGTTATGTTAAAACAAACAACTGAAGAAAGATTCAACGAATGCTTAACAGCCGAAGTAAATTCAATATCGTTAAGGTTTGTATTTCATATGTCCAGAATAAAGAAAGCAAACCATAAAAGTTAGGTAACCATTGTAATTGTCTTCATAATAATACGATCCTATTTGATTTTAAGATTTGTTTTTTTTTAAATATAATTATTTGTAAACATTTTCACATGCCACATTTCTAATAATTTATTTTAATAAAGCAATGTAGTAGTATGTAAGTTTTCACCAATGAAAACCGTTTAATTAAAACAAAAAAATATTTAATTTCCGTTATCAAAAACTAAACCCATGTGTGAACACTCACCCTTACAGCATCCGATATAGGGATTGAAAAAATAAGCTATAAACATCCTCCGAGTCTCAAGGAACCTATTGTAATATAACTGTTATTGGAAATGGTCCAGTAGTCTTTGAGTTTATCGAGAACAAACAAAGAAAGTAACATTCATTTTTATATAAAAATCCCTGAAGACGCGTGTGTCACCTTACACATTGGTTATGTAATATTCGGAGTTAGGTAAGGTAACTATTTTTGATTTATTTACAAAATGTATAATAATAATTCTTCGACCTGCTACGTGTGTTATAGTAGTCTCGTTTGCTTGTACCGCGTGTACCGCTACCGCAGGTCATCAGTAAAGTAAAATAATATATTATTACGATGTAAACATTTAATTTCGATATGCGTTAAACGATAACTGTACCTATTCGGTATAACTCTAGGGGGGGTGTCTTGTCTGAAATATTTAAAACCCTCTTGCTCTTATTCAGTATTAATCTGTCACTGGTACAAGTACAACCTATAGCCTATAGGTATATATACAAGAGATAGCCGATAACGCCGTTCTATAATATATATTAGAGTAAAACCGTCGAGCGAAAAAATATATTATAAAGGCCCCACGTCGAATTGCGACCTGTTTTACGGAAAATAATACAGGAAAATGCCAAATTGAATTATGACTCACTAATTATAATTATTGAGTCTATAGTTGCGGCACAGCCCCGCGGGTCTTTGCGAGGCGATTATTATATGGCTTGCCACTGCCTACCTCATCCGGACGGCGATCTACATAACAATATTTATATTTTGTTGTGCAATATTACGTATTATCGAAAATTATCCGCTCTAAGTGTAGGTATTATAATATTATAATATGAAACACGTCGCCATATAGATGCTTGCTTTATATTATAATATAGGTTAGGTATCTCTAAGCTCGAGAATATTAATTCGTATTCGCCGATTTTAAAACGTCCATAACTGCAAAATGTCTCACCTCCACGACGTCCTCGTTTCATGGATAATCGCTCAATAATAATATATTATCATGGGAAAACTACCTTTTAAAATACAATATTAATGGCCAAAAGGGGTAATACGTCTTTTAAGCTCGGCATGATAATATTATAGTATTATTATTACCAGCTATACCGTGCCACGTTACATAACTTTTGTAACAATAGAAATATCATATTATTATACTTGTCAAGTTGGGTACCTGTAAGTTTTCGCGTTTAAATCGAATCTTACAATCGAGTGGTTAGGGCGTTGAGCAATATTCTGTTGTTCGAAATGCCAGTCGATTTGTTGACATTATAAATACATATGTTGTGTAATTACATTTTTTTTCCAATCGAATTTTAATGACGATACATATAAAATATCGAGGTAAAATATTATTTATCATTTCCATTCGTAAATTGACCGAGGTATAAACTGTTTAACCATTAATGAAATTGTGCATTGTGTGTAAAAGCATTTTAATACTATTACTAGTTACAACTCTCGTAATAATAAGACTAATCTTTATAATGAGTTAAAGTTAAATAAACAATTAATGACTAATAATAATATAATATGTTTAACTTACTTTAAAAACGTTACACCGACCGTCAAATTTTAGTGTAAAAACGGTGACTAATTTTTCGAATTATTCATTACAGGAACAACCGTTTAGTTCACGAATGTAATATAACTCAACTAAATAATAACGATTAGATTATTGCAGACCTTAGCGGCAGAGCTTAAACTAAGTACATAGGTTCTATGGCATTAACTTGTTATTTAGATACCCTTTTCACAAAACAAACCGAGCAAATTGCCGATTATAATGATTTTAAGATGTCCATTATTACTTAAAGTTAGGTATATCCATTGATTTTATATTATAAAATCAATGGTATAACATAGCTCATCTGTACTTACTCATAAATTATTA